ATGAACCTTTAAATAAAACGAAAAATAGAAAAATTCTTCTTCTTCTTTTTTTTTTTGTTTATTTAAATTTACCAATTTTTTCTCCATTATAAAAAAAAGCTTTTTCAGCATCAATTTCTGTTTCAAATTCAACAAATGTTGGTCCATTAAGTGTATCAGTTTCAATAAATATTCCACCTGGACGATTTGTTACATTACAACCAGCAAAAAAACGTTTAACATCTTTACGTTCAAAAGTTTTTGGTAAACCTGTAACACGCATACAATTTTTAATTGTTGTACCTGGAGTTTTTTTTACATGTGCTGGAATATATGAATCAATAGCTGATGCAAATGTATATTCATCAATTTTTTTAATATCTAACATTGAATTAAAACATTGTATACGACCATCTTGTGATAATATATCAGCAACATCTTTATTTGTATGTAAACGAAGTACAATTTCACCTGTACGTTGACCATTTTGATCATTTATTATTTTTATATCCGAAAGATTTAATTTATATTTTGAAAATAAAAGTTTTATATTATAATAATTATAACCTACAGGAATATTACGAACACGAATATAAGGGTCATCAGCTGTTATAGTTGTTTGAAATAAATTATTATTTTCTTGACTATAATTTGAAAATAATGTTTGTTGTTGGTGTTGTTGTTGTTGTTGTTGTTGTTGTTGAAGAAGAAGAGCAGCTGCACGTTGTGGTTGAAACGGATTTGAAAACTACATATATAGAAAATTAAGATAATATATTTTAAGTTTCATTTTGTTTAATCATATTCAATTAGTAGAACGTGTCGGATTAGTCCCGAATTCGAATCTCGAAATTTTCTATCCACTAGGAGTATGACTCAACAAGTAATACTCTAAAAGTATCAACCAATGATGATTTGATTGTCGACAGAATTGTCTGAGAAGTTCCAGACTTCGCAAAAAAAAATCATATCTTGATCTGACATTTTGCGCATTTAGACAATTTAACTGAAGTAGCTTTCATAAAGAAAAAAAACTCAGAAGTTTTCAACAAAGTTTTTCGAGATGTGAAACTTTCAAGATATAGACTCTTTTCCATGAATAGTGTATGCGACTATAATTTCATTGTGTCACATGTTTTCTCTTATAGTTTAATTTAAGATATTTTTTTCTTGCGAGATTAAAATAAAACACAGTTCAATAAAACAAAAAAAAAAAAAACTAAAGATATTTTGATGTTAATTCAACAGGGAACACAGATGGAATCGGCGTGTACTTTTTTGGAAACTGAACTAATCCCATCTCTGGTATAGAAGATAAGCTTTTTCCGTACTTTGTATTATGGACTTGCAGGTCCTTCCAGATCCAAAAGGTTAGTTTTTCTCAATTCTGAGTTTTTGCAAAAACGTAGATCGGTGGCTCCTTGTCCTTTATTCTGCACATCTTTCTGATGTATGGAAGGGAAAATATCATTCTCAAAATAAGAATGAAAATACACGATTACTATCTCATGTACGCTTAATCAAAATAAATGAATTCAGTTTTAGAAGAAAGAAATCTTCTAACAAATTCTCTCGTTGTTTTGTTAAAAATTACCTGTTGTGTCATCCATCCATTCGGTTGTTGTGCATATTGATTAATTGGATTTGTAAGAAGTGGCATTTGAAAAGGAAATTGTTGTCCAATTGTAGGTTGTTGTTGTTGTTGTTGTTGTTTTTCATTCAATGTAGCTAATAATTGTTGAAGTGCTAATGGATTATTACCATTTTGTGCTACAGCCAATAATAAAGCATTTGTTGGATCAATAGTTGATGTTTGTTGTTGCATTTGTAATTGTTGTTGTTGTTGTTGTTGTTGAGCAGCTTTTGCTTGAAATTCTGCAAGAATTGATGATATAGCATTTGCTGATGGTAATTTTGGTAAATTTGAACCATTTTGATCTTGTTGTTCAACAATATTTGTTGTATAATTTTGTTCAACAACATTTGTTAATGGTTTTGTTGATGGACCAGCACGAACTTGTGCAATAATAGATTGCATTTCTGATCGACTACTTAGAAATAATTTTATTGGATTACCACAAATACTACCTGATTTCATCATAGCTTGTCGAGCATCATCATCTGAACTAAAATTAATAAAGGCATCACCTTTTTCACCACCGACTAAAATAAAAATAAACAAATAATTATTATTGTAAAAAAATTTTTTCTAATGAATATTCTCACCAACATGTACACCACCATCTGGAATATTCAAACCAGTAAAGAATCGTCGCTAGAAGAAAATAAAAAAGCATTTTTTTTTTTCATTAGTTAAAATTTTGTTTATTCTGATAAGCAAAAAAAGAAAACAATCTAAACTTACAATATCAACAGCTCGTGCCTCATTCGGTAAATTTTGTAAACGAATAATAATATTTGATGCTGAACCAGTAGACATGACTCTGTATATTTCTCTTTTTATATGCTTAGTAGTAAACAATAATGAATAGCACCATGAAAAGAATACTTTTTAGTTTTTAGCAAAAAATCCAATCACTGTTCTGAAAGAAGAAAAATATCATTGCAATCTGATTCTTAGTTTGTTTGTTTTTTTTTTTTTATCATCTGTTTATAGTTGAATATCTTTTCTCTTTTAGAATATTAATAAAATAGCAAAAAAAAAAGTAATGAATCACATATAAATAACAAATTGATTATAAATACAAGAAAGAAAAATAGCGCTAAAAGTTGTTTTGATTATTTTTCTTGATGAATATTTGTTCGAAATTCATTGATATAAGTATATCATCTATAGAATTTACAATGATAGATTTACCTGTATAATAATAAAGTTTGTTTATGTACAAAAAAAACAAAAACCATATTCTAAAAAAAGAAGATATTTGTTTTTTTGTTTGTTTTTATGTATCGAAAATTGACAAGAAATTTAATGATATTGATCTGTACATATATCCTAAAAAATAAATATTTTGCTAATGAAATTAATATTGCGAGAAAGAAATCTTCATGAATTATTTAAATACCATTGAGAGATTTCTGTATAAAATGATTTATTGATTGAAAGAATTGTTTATGGACAATTTCATTCTTTAGTGAATTTTTTTTTTTTGTTCGGCCAATGAAAAAGAAAAACTAGCATTAGTGATATGACACAAATTTTCATTTGCATAAAGTAGTTTTGAATATGCTCAAGTTTTTTCAAGAAATTAAATTTATTCATTGCTAATAATATGAATCAGAAGTTTGAAAAGCCAATTCTCAATGGTACAAAATCATTCTTGGAGATCTTGAAATGATAGCAAAATAAAAGGTCTCGTTCTGAAATATGAAAAGATCTATGAAGAATCGAATCTTGCTAAAATTCTTGGACTTTTCCATCGTAAGATAAGAGATTTATTTGCTAATTATGTTTAATTATATTTGAACTGAAAAAATCAATATTTTAACATATATTTATGGTACCAAAACTTATTCGGAAAAAGAATCAAAGTCAAATCGCAGATGGCCATACATCAATTTTGCACACCCACACATCCTCTGAGAAAATCGAAACAGATCAATTTTCTGTAAAATGTCTAAATTGATATTTTAATATCATAGAAATGAATAGCAGACTCAATTAGAAAATAGATTTCTTAATCAAAGCAAATGAACTAAATCATATATTTGTTGATTGAACATAATATATTAAAAAGATAAATAATCAGCAAAAACAAAAGAATTAATCATAATAAATCTGATTAAAGTTAACAATCAAAATTGGATAAGGATAATGCTTTAAAGAAAAAAAAAGAAGAAAATATCTATCATCATTTTATCAATAATATCTTAGGAAATATACACCGCAATTTTTCTATTATTAGCAACAACTTACATTCTGACTAGATTAAAATCTCTCTCATACAAGGAATAATATCGAGTTCATTCAAAAGTGCTCACTTTACATATGTGCTCATTTAGTTGCAATCGCTTGTCAGCTACACAAAGTGATCTTCTTTCTCTTCTCCGACAGTTTATTAATTGAATTTCTTTTTTTTTAATCAACACGTCTGCACATGCTTTCATGTCACTAGCTATTAATATACAAATGACAACATATTACATCAAACACTATTATTTTATCATAACGCAATACACATCACACCATTTCCTTTTTTTTCGTTCTGCACATGAGTGATAGAATATATGTCGCTCATATTTACATAGGTGTTGTTATTGCACATGCAATAAGAAATAAATGTCCATTGCTAAGAATAAGGAAATGCTGATTTTGCGACCTCTCTCCTTCATAGCAAACGAGAACAACAGACATCACACCCCTTTCCCAGATTTCCTTAGCAACGAAAAAAAAAGAAAAGAAAAGCACTGAGCGCTATTAGCAACACAACTTCGACTGTTCGCGAACATTCTCTGGCTAGAATACGTTTGTTAATGTCCTACATCGTGGAGTTTGTGATTTTTTTGCGCAGATAAAAATTTATATAATGATAATATCAAGGCTAATGATGGGTAGTGATGCATTGATTTATCATAATCGTTATATGATCAATATAAAAAGCGTGAACTATAAGCAAGTTATAACTTTGAGAAATAATCAATATCAATATTTCTGAACTTATCAAGATATATAATAGTACATTGAAACCTCACGTAGATATAATGGTATATGTACCATATGCTTATTTGATAGTTAAATCAATATTGAATTAAGAAAAACAACAATGCAAACAAAAATATCGAGCGGTATTAGAAAAAAAAAACTCTCTTCTAAATGCAACAGGTCGTATCCTTGAAAATTAACTATAAAATCTGCTAGAGAGATTATTCACTTAACATTTTGTTGTTGATTAGTATAACACATATCACTCGCAAAAGATCTGCACCGATAAACTCTTCTTTGTCTGATCATTTACAATAAGAATCGAATAAAATATAATCTGACTTTTATTATTATTATTATTTTTTTTTTGTATATCTTTTGACTCCACTTACTTTATAATATCTATAAATTCTGAATATCAAATTATATCTGTTTGTCTTTTCATTTGAAATCTCTCCCAGGATATCAAATCATCTTCTTTATTATTATCAAATGATGTACAACCATGCAGTATATCATCAATATTTAATTCAACAAATGATTGACAATGATTATTCATTAATAAACATAAAGTTATTATTTGTTGTTCATTATCGGATAAAAATATAATTTGTTCATCAAAACGAAGATTATTTATTATTAATTTATTATCAATTTCTAATATTGTATCAGATATAATTGAATTTTTATTAAATTCATTTGTATTAATATGAAAATTTAATTTTAATAAATTATAACCCAAACCAATACCTAACCATTTAATATAACTTTCTTTTAAAGACCATAAACGATAAAAATTTGATGAATTTTTTTTAATAAAATTATATTCATTTAATGTAAATTTTTTTTGAATTAAATTCAAATTTAATTTTTGTATATTTTCTTTTTTATATATCATTGTATCACAACCAATTTGTCCATTAAATGTACCAGCAATACATACTAATTGATTATAATGTGCAAGATTAAAATCAAATGATGGATTTATTTTAATAAATGGACGATTATATTTTGTACGTTCTATAATAAATGACGAACTTTTCTTATGAAATACTTGACTTAAAAGATAACGAATTAGTAATTGTCCAATAAGTGTAAATTTGACATCACGTTGATATGTATATTCATCAATGCGTTTTAATTCATTAATTGGTAGGCAACGATTTGCATATAACCATTGATCACGAGTTGGTTTCCAACGATGGCAATTAAAATAGAAACGATACATTTGAAGAAAAAAATAAATAAATAAATTTTTAAGGTCAAATAGAAAAAAATATGAATAAACCAATGAGAAAAGATTTTAATTGATTTAAATCAATGCATTAATGCACTTTAATTAAAGTAAATTCTTTTTGTATTTTTAAATTATTTAAAATTCAATGAGATTTTTTTTTGAGTTGAGATTGAAAATTATTTTTTTATTTATGTATTAATTAAATAACTAATTGTAAAGCGCTTTTTTGTTTGTTTGAATGAACAAAGGTATGCGCGCTATGAACAGATAATGAATCATAGACGTTCAATACATCATATACTCCAGTTACATTTTTATACATACACATAACATACGTCGAAGGTTTTGTATTTATAAGAATTCATTTATAAAAAACAAAAACAAAACAAAACAAAATGACAAATCTTCTTACTGAATCAACAACAATAACAATTGTCAATAAAGTACTTGATGATATTAAAGAAAATATTGGTGATTATCATCAAATCAATGAACAAGTGGAAAAATTAAATGTTAATTGTATGTATTCAATTTTATGTAATTAATTAGAGAAAAAAAATCTTACTTCTATAGTTCGGTAACAGTGCTGTCAATCTTCAGAAGAAGTAAATAATTATAATTCAATGATTTTCAAGGATCGGAGGAGCTACAGTTCTCAGATAAATGGTTGAAATCTTCGAAGAGATAACACGAAAAACGTGCAGGTTGAGGCTAGTAACACCTAGATCGAAAGAAGAATAAGTACATATCATTATTCCAGTCACTAGGATATATAGAAAGTTGAATATGACGTCTATTTCTCTTTTCCATCACTGTAACAAGACAATCTCTCCAAATAATAAATCATTTTTGAGACGTGACTTACTCATATAAGTTTGCGACAAAATGACTTTCTTTAAAAAAAATTTAATTTGTAACAAAACTACTGCCCATTTCAAAATATACGGCACGTGGGTATTTTTTGAATAACTTTTGATAGGAACAAGATAGAGAGCTGTGGATTTCACCGTTGCAAAGACGCTGATTCAGCGCATCAATTCATATAAAATTGTTCAGGTTTATCTCAAAAATAGGTAGTGATCCATTATCATCTTGAAAGAGTAGAGTATTGCTCTTTGAAGATAGAACAAATCTTAAACTTCGAGGAGCGCGTTAGAATCGCCAGCTCAAGAGCTATAAAAATATATATAATACTTGATTCAAAACTTTACTGGTTTGTGAGTTCTAGGTACTATAGTCGACAATTATAGTCCATTTTGCCAGCGTTTTCTGTAAAAAAAACTCAGTTTTTTTGAGTTTGTTTCGTTTTTCCTGGAAAAATTAGGCCTGTTTTTAAGGTATTTTTTTGTTCGACTATTGCAAAAGGTTTCAAAAATCCAAGTTAAAAAGCATTGCTTTATACGGTTCGATGCGTTTTTATCTGCTCTTTCCAACGGTAAAAACTACAGCTCTCAATCTTGTTCCTATCAAAAGTTATTCAAAAAATACCCGCGTGCCATTTTATTTTAAAATGGGCAGTAATATCTACAGATTTTGTTGGTATAGGGGTATAAGAAAAGCAAGGGGTACAAGTACGGATAAAAAATCAAAAAATTATTTCCCTGCTGTTGTGCACTACTTCCCTGGTGGTATAAGCGGCATAATTGTCCTATACGATTATACTGTTTCTATCTCTTATATCTTCAATGTGTTTTTTACAGGCGTTTCTTTTTTCTGAATTTATTGCAAGATCTAATTCCTTTGTCTTATATCATTAGGTAAGTCCCTTTGTGACTATAGAAAGTCTAAAAGATTTTGTCAAAAACAAAAAAACTTTTCAGGAATCAAGTTTTCAATAGGATTCATCAGATATCTCCTGTTTATTAAAAATTGTATTATTCGAAGAAAACGTGATAGTTTCTTATTGTGAACTCATAAATCGTGTTGAAGATGATCGGAAGCAAGTCACGGTATTTTATTGAAAAATTTATTAGAATGATTATAAATGAAGAAGAAAGATCTCTATAGACATGAATCGTTTTAGGATTTCTATAATTACAACAAGAGCATACCTAATGAAATAAGACTTTTTATGCAATCAGTATCTATATGAATGACAGTTGATTTAACATCACTAAGGTCATCTGCTGAAGTTCGAGCTATAATACAGATTTTCTATTTATTTTCTTTTGTTTTTAGCTGAACAAATTCATTTAAATATAAATGATGGAGAACAATCGAAATCACTAAATATACAAAATTTACTTGACAAAAATATACTTTTATCAAATACGGATGATCATAAAGAGAATACATCATCATTATCAACAATTGATTCAAATGAATTATTAACATCACATATATTAATGAATAAACAAATTGAACTTATACATCCTCTTGAAAATCAATGGTCATTTTGGTATTTAAAAAATCAACAAGGAAAAGATTGGCAAGATAATTTAATGAAATTAGCAACATTTAGTTATGTAGAAGAATTTTGGGCGTAAGTTAAAATGAACAAAAAATAACAAGAGAAAAAACAAAAGATTTCTATTCGAAATCAATGCAACAGATCGTTCATATCCTTGAAAAATAGCTATCGTATGCTAGAGATTTTTTTGATTTCCGCTCACAAGATTTTTGTTAGATATTTTCTAATATAAAAACTAGACATTAGATCTGCTTGAATGATTGCTCTAATCTTTTTTTTCATTTAGTCTCTTCAATCATCTACGTGTAGCATCACGTTTACCACCAAGTTGTGATTATATGTTGTTTAAAACTCCTATTTTACCTTGTTGGGAAGATTCACATAATTCCAATGGTGGTCGTTGGGTTCTTTATTTTTCTAAATCTGAACAAGTCTATCTTAATCTTGATGTTTGTTGGCTTGCTTCAGTAAGTCTTTTCTAATTTTTTTTTGTTTTTGCTTTGTAAAAACAATTCTTTATGTAGATGTTAGCACTAATCGGTGGTCAATATGCACAAGATACTAATTATGTTAATGGAGTTGTTTTATCAGCACGTAAAAGTTGTGATCGTATTGCACTTTGGACATCGATTCATCATGATCAACAACTTATCTTTCGTATTGGGTATAGAATTTAATTTAATTTAATTCGATAGTATTCTTTTTTTTTATTTCATAGTCGACGTATGCGTGAATTAATTAATATTCCACGACAAATTCATATTTTATTTGAAGTAAAAATAAAGAGATTTCTTTTATATATATATTTTTTTTCTTTTTTCAAGCTTCATAATCAAGAAATAAGTACAACAACTAATATAACATATAAAAAGAAAAGTACAGCAGGAAATAAAGTATTATATCAACTATAAAATGCTATATAAGAAAAAAAGACACATTATAGTTATGGATTTATTTCTCTTGTTGTTCTCGATTGCTTCTCTTACATATGTGTGTGTGTATATATATATATATATATTCTTGCATTATTCCCTCCCTTTTTTTTTTTAGAATATACGAATAAAAAACAAAGCGTTTCTGCGCAAGTTTGATGCATGAAAATACATGTTTTTAGTAAAAAAACTTTTTCATTGTTTCGGAATTATGATTAAATGTATACGAGAATAGACTATCGATAGAAGATAGAGCTACTATATACTATTTTCAATTGCAATTTAGAATATTTGTTTCTTTTTATTAGATTCAATGAAATGTATATTAGTCGAAATCATGAAAAGCTTTTAATTTTAATCCAAGGAAGTTTTTATATATTGCACTAAAACATCAATATTACTACTATAATGTACATCTCTAAAGTCATGATCGATAGTTTAATCAAACCTTTTTTTTTTGTTTCTAGTAAGAGACAAGTAAGTTTTGATTTTTAAAGACCAAGTTTTTGAATGGCATGGAAAATATAACACTTTCGGTTTTGGTTTAAAAATTAGATTTTTGTTTTCGACACTACTAACAATATGCACCATTTCTTTTTTGGATATTATGAATTTCAGATTATTTAAACCTTGTACTGTAACGAATTATTTTTGTCTTTGATTATATTTACATCGTAGTTTCGTACAAATATGTAACCTTTTGAATCTTACTATTAATATTTATTATGTGAAATACGATCTATAAGAAGTATAGAAAATAAGTGATGAGTGTACATCTGAAGTCTATTTTTCGGAAGCTTGATACCGTTAGGAGGCTTTAAAAAAATGTGGAAAATGATGACTAACAGCCAAGCGTTTCTCTATATGATCTGAAAAAGACCAATGATATTCTACATGCAGTGTGCAATAGTTAGTTCAGATTCATTACGGCTTACCGTGTCAGCTGATCCAAGATAGGTGAGCGCGATTGAAATTCATTATAATTTCCTCTACGAAGGTCTAAGATTTATAAATAGATGAAATAAATAGACTTTTTTGTGGATTCAGGACGGTCTTGCAAGACTCTACGTGACAGACCTGAATTTACAATCACAGACTGTATATCAATAATGTCTCGTTATAATATATGAAGTACTTTCTTATTGCATATTTTGATGACTAAGTAAAAGGATGAATGAAGAAATGTATCCCAAAATAGATAGAATAAAACAATCTTCTTGTGATTAGCAATATCATTTTACAGTTGTGCGGCCTTCATCTCGGTTTTAACTATATCTATCAGTTGAAATGAATAATAAATAGTCACAATATCATGTGTATGAATAAGACAAACTAATAAACAAAGATTTTATCATTAAGCAAACCGACAAGTTTCTACAATTCTATTGAAATTCATTTTACTCGACAAGAGAGTTGCTTTTGTTTCCTATTAAAAAGAAAGGAAAATTTTCTATCGGAGGTATTTTTCCAATTGTCATAGACATGTTTTCGGAAGAAGGTCTTCTGGAAAACCAAGATTCCAGAACAATAGTTTTCTGAATTCGATTGGAAACGTTTTGTAAATAAACTCCTCTAATAGTGTGCAAAATAAGATGTTGCTGAGCTCTCGACAAACTTTGGTTCATCAAACTATATTCAATTTACACAAG